TGGTAGCCCAGGCTGGCCTCGAACTCACAGAGATCCGCCTGCCTCTGCCTCCCGAGTGCTGGGATTAAAGGCGTGCGCCACCACCACCCGGCCATTTCTTTTCTTTTTTTATAAAAATATATATATCTTTATTGTTTATTTATATGTATGTGTGTGTATCTTTGTGGATGTATCTGCACCTACATGTAGGTTCCCAGCGAGGCCAGAAGAGAACAGCACTTCCTCTGTAGCTGGACTTGAAAGCAGTCATGCACTGCCCGATGTGGGTGGAACGGAACTCTAGTCCCTGAAGGAACAGCAAGTGCTCTAACTGCTGAGCCATCTCTCCAGCCCCGATAATTGCCATTCTGAGAATATCTGCATGCAGCAGGCCAGGCATGGGCTGGCTCTAGCAATGTAGACACTATTTCTCCTGCTCCTTGGATGAGAGAGCTGAGAGAGGTTAAGTAATTGGCCTAACGTGACACAGCTACTAAGTAATGAAGCAGGACCCAAACCTGGATCTGCCCAGCTGCAATCTCATTTGATGACATCACGGCTGCCGATCAAGTACCAAATGGAAGGAGAGCTTGCCTCACCCTTATTAAATGCTCGTCCGCCGAGGACACAGCACTCACATTAGCAGTGGATGCAGCAGTTAGGAGCAGTATAATGAGGAATCCCACCAAGCAGCGTGTTTTTGTTTGTTTCCCCCCACCTCATGTGTGTGTATACACACGTCTGTGTTCATATACGTGCGGGCACATGTGCGTTAACACACGTGGGGGCCCAAGGTTTGACACTGGGAGTCTTCCTCCACTGCTTTCCGCCTAGTTCATTGAGACAGGGTATCTCAATCGAACCCAGAGAGCATTGATTCAGTTAGTCTAACTAGCTAGATTGCTCTGGGGATCGTCTCTACCTGCCTTCTGAGCGCTAGAATTGCAGGTGAGTCCTCACACCTACCTGGCATTTAGCAAAGGTTCTGGGGACCAGACCTCCAGTCCTGACATTTACCCTTTAACCTGTCCTTGGTGGTTTTTGCTCTGTAGAAAGAAAATCGTAAGAGAAATTTTAAATTTGCATGAATTACACATATTTTTCTGGGTAAAAGAAACAGCTTTGTTTTCTCTTTAGAAAAAAATTTCGTACAGTATTTTTTTTATCATTTTTTTTCTCTTTCCAATTTTTTTTTTCTTAAAATTTTCAAAAAGGAATTAGTTTGACTTTTGAGACATTTGTAGCCCTAGCTACCCTGGAACTCACTATGTAGACCAGGCTGGCCTGGAACTCACTATGTAGACCAGGCTGGCCTGGAACTCACAGAGATTGGTCTGCCTCTGCCTCCTGATTGCTGGGATTAAAGGCCTGCAACACCCTGCCCGGCTCAGCTTCTAAAAAGGTTTTTTATCTTGGGTGTGGTGGCATACACTTGTTTTCCTAGCACCCAAGGCATCAAGATTGGGAGTTCCAAGCCAGAATGGACTATGGTTTGGGACCCTGTCTCTAAAATCAAAACAAAATGAAAACATGAAATCCATTGCTTTAAGGAGGATTCATTGGAATAGTTCTTATGTAAGAGATTCATACTGGTATTGTGTCATTATAAGGGGAACACAAAGAGCCCAATAAAATGGTAAGGATATGAGGTTCAGTGGTAAAATATGCATGGCCCTGGGTTCAAACCCCAGTACTCCCAGAGTAGGATAAATCTGATAGTGTTTCTCAGCAGGCTAAGGCAAAAGTCAGAGCTGGGATGACGAGGCTGAGGGAAGTCAGGCGCCTTCATCTTGAGGCCATGGAAATTCCAACTTTGTTTGTGTTGGGTGGGTGGTCTTGTGGAGAAGGGGGTGTCATAGTAGGTCTTCTTCATGCTGGTCATATGCTAAGAGAATGTTCAAACAAGGTCTTAGGATAGGACATGGAGGGATGGCTCAGTGGTTAAGAGCACTGACTGCTTTTCCAGAGGATCCAGGTTTGATTCCCAGCACTCACATGGTGGGTGACTCACTACCATCTGTAACTCCAGTTCTAGAGGATCCCACACCCTCTTCTGGCCTCCTTGGGCACCAGGCACACATGTGGTGTACAGACATACATGCAGGCAGGACAAACACCCTTACACAGTACATAAAAATAGTTTTAAGAAAACTGTAGCTGGAGTTTTCTCTCCGGGTCCCACCAATCCCTGGCAGTCTGACAGCCCACTTATAAAATAAACACACAGACTCTTACATTATTTAAACTGTTTGGCTTAATGGCTCAGGTTTCTTGCTAGCTGTTCTTATATCTTAAATTAACCCATTTCTATAAATCTATACCTTGCCACGTGGCTTGTGGCTTACATTTCACTTTTCATGGCGGCGGCTGGCAGTGTCTCTCCTCCTCAGCCTTCCACTTCCCAGAATTCTCCTCTCTCCTTGTCCCGCCTATACTTCCTGCCTGGCTACTGGCCAATCAGTGTTTTATTTATTAACCAATCAGAGGAACACATTTAACATACAGAACATCCCACAGCAGAAAACTATACTTTTTATACTTTTATACTGAAGTATAAAAGGCCTAGCTAAGCAAGGTGGCTCACACCTGTAACCCTAGCCCTCCAAGACACTGCAGCAGAAAAATTGCTTCAAGTTTTGTTGAGGCCAGCCTAGACTTCATGGTGAGTTTTAGGTCAGCTTGTCCAAAAAGAAGAGGAGGAGGAGGAGGAGGAGGAGGAGGAGGAGGAGAAGGCAAACAAATAAAAACAGAAAGCAAATACCTTCTGGAAGTTTGTATGGTGACACACCCCTGGGCTGGGGAGTTGCTGGCCACTGGCCAGTGACAACAAGCCCTGCTCTCTTATGTGACTTGAAATATTTTGTTCTCACTTTGGTCATTTAGAAAAAGGATCTTCCACCTGCAAAGTGCGCCCACCCTGCACGGACAAGGATTATTTCTATACCCACACAGCCTGTGATGCTAACGGAGAGGTGGGTAGCCCGCTGGAGCCCCTGTTCCCCGTTCCTTGGACTTGACCAGTGTTCAAGCTCCATTGGTCATTGAAACTGATACTGGAGAACCGCCCCCCCCCCCCCAAACCTGCGTGATGAACCCAGGCTAGGGAGGGGCCAGAGGACCTGGCTTCATTCATGCTCTGGTCAGACTCTCCTTTTGCCTGTGTGTATCACTCAGTATTGGCACGTGCTCTTTTCCAAACCCTCTCCATTTTCCTTTGCTTGGTTTCTCCCATCCGCTTACCCCCTGGGCGCACCTGCCCATCCACATCTGCTGCTTTCCATAGAGATCGCTCAGTCTCATGCGCTGGCTGTTTCAGGTGAGAGGAGCGGGAACCTCTTCCTACTTCCAGCTCCCTGGAGAATGGCCTGACTGGTTTTAGTGCCCACGGTTTCTCCCGGCCCGCACCCACACTAGACCTTCCCCTCAGGAAAAGCCTTTCCTTGTAGTCTGGTTGTCCCTGGGCTGACAAGCCATGCTTGTGTGAACTGATGTGTCAGGCTGGGGACCAGAGATGACTGAGTTGCATTCCCACTCTCACAGAGCTCACAGGGCCACAGGGAGGCTGCTGGCAGTGGTGGCGCATGCCTTTAATCCAACACCTGGTCTACAGAGCCAGTTCCAGGATGGCCAGGGCTACACAGAGAAACCCTGTCTCGAAAAACAAAATGAGCTGAGCGGTGGTGGCAGACGCCTTTAATCCCAGCACTTGGGAGGCAGAGCCAGGTGGATCTCTGTGAGTTCGAGGCCAGCCTGGACTACAGAGCAAGTTCCAGGAAAGGCTCCAAAGCTACAGAGAAACCCTGTCTCAAAACCAAAAAAAAAAAAAAAAAAAAAAAAAAAAAAAAAAAAAAAAAAAAGAGAGAGAGAGAGAGAGAGAAAAGAAAAGAAAAACAAAAACAAAATGAAAACAACAAACAGAAGAAAGGGGGCCCCACTCCCATAAGGCAGTGGTGATGTGCAGGGCCTGAGAGAATCCTAAAAAACAGAACAGGCCTGAGCAGCCAGAGAAAGCCTTTTTGAAAATGCTGTTCAATGGTCAACAAATATTCAAGAGGGGGAGGGGGAGTTGTTTTTTTTGTTTGTTTGTTTTGTTTTTTTTTTTTTTTGAAACATAGTCTCACTATGTAGACAGTGCTGGCCTAGAACTCACAGAGATCTTCCTGACTCTGCCTGGGATTAAAGGTATGCATTACCACGCTCAGCTAATAAAAAGATTTTTTTGACAAGAGTCTATAAATCTTTTCTGAAGACAACTGGTCACTATCTCCTCTATCATAGACCCCTCGTTAGACATACCTTTTCTCCTCTGTTCAACATTTATTTGGTAGATAGTTGCTGGGTACAAACATGTGACCAGAACAGACTTCTCTACTATTTCTGGAGTTGTTGGTTTGTGTTTGTGTTTGTGTTTTTGTTTTTGTTTTTGTTTTTGTTTTTGTTTTTGTTTTTGTTTTTTTCCGAGACAGGATTTCCTTGTGTAGCTTTGCCCCTTTCCTGGAACTCACTTGGTAGCCCAGGCTGGCCTCGAACTCACAGAGGTCCGCCTGCCTCTGCCTCCCGAGTGCTGGGATTAAAGGAGTGCGCCACCACCGTTGTTTATTATGTATACAGCATGTATGCCCGCAGGCCAGAAGAGGGCTTATTTCTGGAGTTTTTATCTTTTGCCCAAATCTCCAGTATCCCCCAATGCTCTTGTTCTGGTCATAGGCTAAATATTATACAATGCTGAATCTGGCTTCATCCATTTTTGCAGACACAGCTCATGTACAAATGGGCCATGCCAAAAATCTGTGGTGAGGACCTGGAGGGAGCAGTGAAGCTGCCCGCCTCTGGGGTGAAGACCCGATGCCCACCCTGCAACCCAGGCTTCTTCAAAACCAACAACAGCACCTGCGAGCCCTGTCCCTACGGCTCCTACTCCAACGGCTCTGGTAAGCGTCCTGTCGCTCTTCCATCCCCTCCATCCTGATACTGGCTGCTGGGCGGGCCGTGGGAACGAAAGCCCAGAGGAGCTGGCCGGATGCGCTCTGCCTGCCCTCCGAGGGCAGTGAAGGGCAGGCCAGTTCTGAGGACCAGGTTTAGGGGTCTGTAGGTCAGGGTCAGATTTAACACCTGCTCCTCCTCCTGCCTCACTCTGCATCTGCAAACGTGACTCAGTCTTTGCCACAGAGACGTCCAGCATGTGACAAAGATGCTAACCAGAAAGTCCATGGGTTAAGACGACCAAGTGGACAGAATCGCAACCTGTAAGATACGCTGCAGAAAGGAGTGTGTGTGTGTGTGTGGGGGGGGGGGTGTACCTGCTAGAGCAAACGCATTTGAGGACAACGTGGGGGACCGAGGGAAGTACCCAAATGAACGTTTGATAAGAAAGGGCAGTTGGAGCACTGGTCAGTGTCTGATCTGAACGTGTTGCTTTGGGTCCTTCTGACCGGTCTTTTAGCGGCAGCCCGCCGCCGCCCACCAGGTGGCTGCCGCCTGTCTGTCTGGCAGCGGTTTCAGGTGCCGACTGCCGGGTTCCTCCTGGGTGACGGGTCCTCTGCTCTTCCTAGATTGTGCCCACTGCCCAGCAGGAACGGAGCCTGCAGTGGGATTTGAGTACAAATGGTGGAACACGCTGCCCTCCAACATGGAAACGACTGTTCTCAGCGGAATCAACTTCGAGTACAAAGGCCTGACAGGTGACCGTCACCTCCCTCCACCCCACGCTGTCATTCTTCCTACTCCCACGGGGAGCCATCCATCCCCTGGAAAGCCCCACTCCTCCCAGCAGACAGGCTACCATCGCTTGGTTTCAGAGACTTGGGGCGAGGAGAAACATGGGCAAGCCGGTCTTGGTGGCCCAGGCCCGTAATCTCAGCACTCAGGAGGCCGAGGCAGGAGCTTTACTGCAAACATGAGGCAGTAGTGAGTCCCAGGCTGGTCTCTGTGTGACATCCTTCTCGAAACAACAACAATATTAAAAAATAAAACAAAGGAGGCTGAGGCAGAAGTATTGCCAGGAGTCCTGGACAGCCCGGGCTGCAGAGTGAGGTCTTGTCTAGAGAGAAGAAAGGAGGCGGGGGCGGGGGGGGGGGGGGGGGGGGGGGGGGAAGGTAGATAAGAAGAAAGGAAGACAGTACGTCAGTTAGGCGCTGGATAAGCACCGGGTCTGGATACCTTGAAGGACAGTGGTATTATCCCCCCCGAGTGTTACCCGATACACATTTGCCCCCGGCCTGAGGGCACTGACCCTTCCCTCTCCTTTTCCAGGCTGGGAGGTGGCTGGTGACCACATTTACACAGCTGTCGGCGCCTCGGACAACGACTTCATGATTCTCACTCTAGTTGTGCCAGGATTTAGGTGAGGAATACAAAGCCGGCGAAGCCGGAGCCAGCCTGGCCTCCTCCAAATCCCACGGACTTGAATGTGACATGGAGAGGGCTCCAGACTTGAGCTTTGTTTCACTTAGGAATCAGTCCAGAACAGAGCACACCATGGCCATGTTAACTGTACATTAGCACGTGTTCTTAGTTTTCATTTATTTTTGTTTTGTGTGTGTATGTTTGCCTGCATGTATGTATGTGCCCCATGAGAGGCCAGAAGAGGGCACTGGATTCTCTAGAACTGAAGTTACAGGCAACTGCAAGCCACCATGTAGGTGCTCAGAATCAAACCCCTGTCCTCTGCAAGAGCGGCCAGTACCCCAAATCACTGAGCAGTTTCTGCAGAGAACCCTGCCCCCACCCCATGGTTAATTTTGAATGTCCGTTTGAGATTTGGAATCACCTAGGAGACATATCTCTAGGTATGTCGGGAAGGGCATTTCCAGAGAGGTCTAACTAAGGAGGAAGATCTATCTATGTGGGTCAAGGTCCTAGACTGACTAAGGAGGAGAAAATGAATGGAGTGTCGGCATGTGTCCCGCTGCCTCCTAACTGTGAATGCACCAGCCACTTCATGTTCCCGCTTCCATACTTACCCTTTATCCCTGTGGACTTCATCCCCTGAAACCATGAGGCAGGATAAACCCTCCCCTGCTGAAGCTGCTGCTTGCTGAGTGTTTTATCACAGCAGTGAGAAAAACGAACGCACTACCCATGCTGTACAGGCCTACCCCCTTCTCTCACTGACTGGCTGCTGGAATCCTTTCTCCTCGCAACAGCAAAGAGAGTTTTAGAGACTGAAAAATAACACCACAGCAGGGTTGGAGAGATGGCTCAGAGGCTAAAAGTACTGGCTGCTCTTCCAGAAGTCCTGAGTTCAAATCTCAGCAACCACATGGTAGCTCACAACCATCTGCAGTGAGATCTGATGCCCTCTTCTGGTGTGCAGGCATACATACAGATAGTATGTATACTCTTACACATAAAATAAATAAATAAATCTTTTAAAAGATTTAAAAGAAAAAATAAGGCCACAGTACCATTTGCAGTTCATTTTTTATGCAATATTTATTAGATTCATTAGTGTATGAATGTTTTGCATACACACACAGACACACACACACACACACACACACACACACACACACACACACACACACACACTTGTATATACCCATGGATTTGATCCCCTGGAACTGGGGCTATGTATTGTTGATCCCTTGGAACTGGGGCTAAACATGGTTGTGAGCCACTATATGGGTGCTGGGAATTGAACCTGGGCCCTCTGCAAAATCAACAAGTGCTTTAAACCACTGAGTCATCTCTCCAGCCCATATACAGTTCATTTTTACTTGAGGCAAGAAGATTGAGTAGGATTGTTCTTACTGCATTTTTTAAAAGTATATTCACACCCCGTATACTGTTGGATAGCGATACTATAATGAGAGATAAAGATAATTATCACTTCCATTTATTAGCCAAGGGAGCTACACATTGGCCAGGTCAAGGTCATATATCTTGGGTGACATAATTGGACTTGGTTCCCACTGTTTCCAACCAACTCCCATACCCTCGGCCTGACCCTTTCTGCTGTCTAGACTCTTTAAATAGCACTGCTTGGCCTCTGTGATGACTTTTAGTTTCTGTCCCACAGACCTCCACAGTCAGTGATGGCAGACACAGAGAACAAAGAGGTGGCCAGGATCACATTCGTCTTCGAGACCATCTGTTCTGTGAACTGTGAGCTCTACTTCATGGTGGTATGTTTCTTCTCTGAGCCAGCTGGGGGCTTCCAGGGGGAGGTTGGCCCAGCTTGCCCTAGCAGTAAAGCATTGTAAAGGACAACCATTATGGGGATTCCACAGGGCAAGAGCCCAGAGTGACTACCAGGGACCCCATAGTACTCAGGACAGGTCTGGCGGGTGTGATAACAGTCCACAGGATAGTGCTGGCTTCATTAGCCATCACGCCTTCCTCACTTGTCTATCCTGGGCTCAGGGCATGAATTCTAGGACCAATACTCCTGTGGAGACGTGGAAAGGCACCAAAGGCAAACAGTCCTATACCTACACCATCGAGGAGAACGCTACCGTGAGCTTCACGTGGGCCTTCCAGAGGACCACTCTTCATGAAACCGTGAGTCCCTCTCCATCCCAGGTGCAGTCTATGAGACAGGAGGAATCCTGGCAAGAGCTCATGCATGCCTCTGAGTGCATAATCTTCAGGAGCCAAGCAGAATGCTTAGTGTAGACTTCTCTAAATGATTTCCAGGGAAGATCGCATTGCGTACCTTCAATCATCTGTCCCTCCTTGAGTCTCCACCGTGGGTGAAGCCAGATCTGTGGCTATTTTTAAGAAGCATCACTCTGACTTTCCTTCATTTTTGAGACAGTGTCTTGGTATGTAACCCAGGCTGACCTGGAACTTGCGACCCTCAGCCTTATCCTTCCCAGAGCTCGATTACAAACCTGGCTTTATTTTCTTAACTCAAAATAAAACAGATTTATTGCAGAAAAAATAATTGATCTGAGCTATAAAGTGGACCCTGTCAAAAAAACAAAACAAAAAGAAAAGGAACAAACAAAATCACCCATTACCCTGTTACTCAGAGATAGCCCAGTCTTAGAGTGTGTGCGTTCTCTGTCTCTCCCCATCCCTCATGCTTAAGTGTGTCCTTGCTCTCTATCCGACCCCCCCACTCTCTGTTGTTTTTAAGAAACGGGTCTTACATTGTAGCCTAGACTGGTTGCCTTCCTCCTTGAGATCCTCCCGCCTCTGCCTCCTGAGGGTTGGGATTATAGGGTTTATTTATTATTGCTACCACACCCAGCCCTAGTCTTTCTTTCTCTTAAAATACGTGGATTTTTTTTCCCCTTTTACAAAGAAAATCCCACCTCTGCCTCCCCCTGCCCCCATATATTAGAATTGTCTATAAATTCCCCTGGTGCGTGGCATTTTCCCCTGGAACTTGAAGTGGGTTAGTTTTGTTGTTAATGACACATTAAAAGCCATTGTCTTTTAAAAGTTAAACTCACAGTTTATTTTTAGTATTATTAATTTTAATTAACATACAAAGGATCACCACTAAATAAAGTGAGAAAGATGCTACCCGGGTTCTTCCTAGGCATCACGGGGTAAGCTGGGGCTGGGACGTGGCTCAGTCAGGAAAAGCTCTTGCCATAGGAGCCTGAAGATCCGTGTTGGGTCTCTAGCACCCATGTAAAAACCAGGACACGAGACAGCTCAGTGAGAGACCCTGTCTCAAAAAAATGAGGTGGGGGGTGATAAAAAGAACGTCTGGTGTCTTTCTGGCTTCCACATGCGTGCTCACATATGTGCATGTACATCCACATGCACCCATATACACCTACACACAAGTAAATAAAGTCAAAATAAAAACAAGTTCCTGCTATTTCTGCGGTTGCTGCTGTCTCAGGCCTCTCCTTTCTCTGCTTTTGCTTCCTCGTCTCCAGGGCAGAAAGTACACTAATGATGTTGCCAAGATCTACTCCATCAATGTCACCAACGTCATGGGCGGTGTGGCCTCCTACTGCCGTCCCTGTGCCCTAGAAGCCTCTGATTTGGGCTCCTCCTGCACCTCTTGCCCTGCTGGCCATTACATTGACCGAGATTCTGGAACCTGCCACCTCTGCCCTCCTAACACCATCCTGAAAGCTCACCAGCCTTATGGTGCACAGGCCTGTGTGGCCTGTGGCCCAGGGACCAAGAACAACAAGGTGACAGCAGTCTGCCACACATGGTGACCTTTGCCCTCTGCTTGGGTGGGTGCTGGGTTCTGGATGGGATTCTTAAGGGGTTGATACCCACATGCTCCTCCTAGCAACACCCACCCCATCCCATGCTCAGGTTGTTGTGAAGGACACCAACCAGGTGTGACTGTGGGTGGTGAGTTCTTAGCAGGAGGTCTTGTCTTCCCTCTGTAGTAGACAAGTCTCATCTTCATCTGGTGGAGATTAGTGACCTTGGGGTCCAGAGGGTTATTTGGCATCTGCGCATAGACCTGAAGGGAAGAAATCGTGGGGTCTGTGGCTCATATTCAGCCTAGTCCAATCCAGCCTGTAATCACTGGAATCTGCCCCCTCTCTTTTGGGAATGTGAGTCAACCTTTGCCAGGACGTACATATTGGCATGGCTGACCTCCATCAGGGGCTTCTCAGACAAATGGACAGAAAGATCTAGTGTGGAAAAAAATCAGTGCTACTGCCCTGAGAAGTTTCACATCCAAGAACATACACGTATGGTCCAGGCACGGTGGCACATATCTGTAATCCCAGAACTTTCGGGATAGAAGAAAGAGGAGCTCAGGGTTATTCTTATCTACACAGCAAGTTGGAGGCCAGCATAGAACTCATGAGACCCAAGCTCATTAACCGAAACCTAAAACAAGACAAAACCCCAAACAAAGCATATATGAATAAAGGGCCTTAGATACGCATTAGCACTTACAATCAATTTGTATTTTACTGATCAATGCCAGATAAACACCTATGAGACTTTATTCATTTATTTAAATTTATTTATGTATTTATGAGACCAGGTCCCGTGTAGTACGGACTGACTTTAAACGTTGTGTAGTCCTGAGGGTGACCTCAAATTCCATAGCCTCCTGCTCAGTTTATCTGCAAAATATGTACAATTATTACACAGACCCCTGACAATCTTTTAGGGGTACTTGGGACATTCTCCACAGCCTTCTTCCCGCTGGAGCTCCCTCTGCTGTTGTGGGAAGGAATGGCAATGTGTTAGGCTGCCTCTCCCAGGGGGCCTAACACACAAGAAACAGGAAGCAAAGCCCCTTCCTCCGCTCAGTTTCCTACAGAGAACCCCACAAAGAGGAGGCAGTGTGTTTTAAATGGCCATATGTGTCCTGCACACAAGGAGACGAATGGAAGTCTCTTGCTTGCCACTCTGGAACCCTTATTTCAGTCTTCTGCTTGAAAGAAAGGCTTGATCCCTGCACATGGCTCTAGGTCTGATCCCTAGCAGTATTCAAAACAAAACCAGACAGAGATTCTCCAGTGAATGCTGGCATCTGGGAACCTCAGAGTTCTGCACTGGAATATATGTGCCACAGTAAATCAAAGACTTTGAGACCAGGGGACATTTAGTGGACACGAATGAAAATTGTGTCGGATGTATGAGAACAGGGATCCTTGGCCACGATAACTAATACAACAGTGGCGTCAGTCCAAGGTTGAGTGGACAGTTGCCAGGCAGACGTCCTTGTCAAAATCCTTTGTGTAGATATAGGGACGTCCTTGTAAGAGTCTGCACACTGGTGGCTCTGCCAGCATCTTTCATGATAGCCGCCATGGGCGACTGTGTGCAAACCCTCCTTGAGACATGTTCCTCCTCTATGTGTCCACAGCTGAATGGCAAGGGAGAGCCTATCAGTGTCTGTTTCACTTCTTCCAATGTCCACCTCGGCCCTTTCGTCCTCCTCTTCCATCCCATTTGGTCTGGAGCAGGTTGGGGACAGGTCTGTTAGACCACTGCGGCCCCGAAGGCCCGAGACTGCCTGCTAACCTGACCCTCCTCCCCTCAGATCCACTCTCTCTGCTACAGTGACTGCACCTTCTCCCGAAACACGCCCACCAGGCTTTTCAACTACAACTTCTCAGCGCTGGCAGGCACTGTCTCGCTGGCAGGAGCGCCCAGCTTCACTTCCAAAGGGCTGAAGTACTTCCATCATTTCACCCTGAGTCTCTGTGGAAACCAGGTAAGCCGGGCAAGCTAACGGGGTGAGACCTGAAAAGTGGACTAGAGGCCAGAGATGGGCGCAGGAGGAAAAGCACAGCATCCCCGAGGCCGCACCGGAAACGAGAGAATCAAAGAGGTTTAAATAACTGGAACTCTCCCTGCGGATTGGTTTTCCCTCTTAAAATTAAGATCAGAGATGGGTGTCACTTGCGTTAGAAGTCTGAAAAGGTCAAAGTGAAGCCTCCAGGGTAGCAAATGGTGGTAACTTGGGAAATGAGAGGACAAAAGCCAACCCCACGTAGCCAGTCTCGTGCAGGGAGTTAGGAGGGGTGATGTGGGGAATCTGGGACAGTGTGACCTTTTACTCCTGCTTCAGCCTCCCAAGGGCAAGGTGTACATGTCTATGGCTAGCCAGGTAAAGTCATTAAAGACTAGAGGAGCCAGGCGTGGTGGTACTTAGACAGTCTGGGACCTCAGGAGGTTGAGGCGGGAGGATCTGGAATTCAAGGCCAGGCTATGTAATGCATGGTCTCAAAAAAAAAAAAGCAAACAAACAAACAAGCAAGCAAGCAAACAAACCTGGAGGGGACTCCAATTTCCTTCTCCCAATACACGTTTTGTTTGGTTTTATTTCTCTCTTTCACAAAACAGAAGGGAGAGGTTGAGAATACAGCTGAGCAGCTGAAGGGTTTAGCAAGCATAAGGCCCAGGGTCCACGCTCCCAGAACTCTGCCTCCCTCCAAAAGTTTATCAGTTAAGACACAGACTTAACCATTTTGAGACCTTTAGCAGCTAGCAATCCCACCTTTGGGGGAGCCTGAGACAGGGTGATCATTAGTTCTAGGTCCTGCTGGGCAATTTAGCAAAAGTTCGTTTAAAAAAAAAAGAAAAAGAAGAAGAAGAAAAAGTCATGCCAAGCGGTGGTGGCGCATGCCTTTAATCCCAGCACTTGGGAGGCAGAGCCAGGTGGATCTCTGTGAGTTCGAGGCCAGCGTGGTCTAGGACAGGCA